AGATAGAAGAGTTTGCTGAATCTGACGTGACGTGTTCGTACGAACCCTTTGTACGAACAAAAGTAAGAGAAATTTTGAGGGAGGGGCGGGGAGGCTGTTGCCGTGCAGTGCTTCAAGAACTGTCCTGCGTCTGACCTCAAAGTGCACAAGCTTCAAACTTCAGCGTTGGCTGCGATTTTGAAGCTGAAATCACGTTCGGTGTGAACGCAGCATAAAACTAACCATTACTGGTCTATGTAACCTAACCTGAACCAAAACTTAATTCACAACATACCTCTAAACCAGGGGTGCCCAACCAGTCACTCACGGGTGACCGGTCGCCCACCAGCTGGTTCACAGTCACCCGCGAAGTGCAACCTTGCTTTAAGAGTTGACGATCCGGCTCATCAGCTGTTAGAGCAAGGTTGCACTCCGGCCCRGGACTCATGTCCGCTCACTAAGCTTCATTCTAACTCCGGCAGAAGCGATGGAGGTGGGAGGCGGGAGGAGTTTACATTCCAGCTTGAACACACTCCCTCCGCCCTCCACATCTCACAGATGTCGTCTCGCGAGTTTTGGGTGCCGTGAAACAAGCAGCACTCCGAACATGATCTCGCGAGACTTTAGGGTCACGTTTTCAAAAACAAAGCGGAGTAATAGTTGTTGGTTACTAGTGCGGGAAAAAAATGGATGAAAAACAGGCGAACAAGGAAACAAAAAGTTCTTATTTTCATCTGGAGAGAGAGGAGGACAATTTTTTTGTTYTTTTCTAATTCCAAGTCTATTTGCCTCATATGTAATTCGAGCTCTGCCTTGTCCAAAAAGGGTAACTTGAAGCGACATTTCAAGATGATGAACAAATGGTACAAGACGTATTTCCCCTCCGAAAAGTTCTTTACGGGCTCAGAAAGTGCGGGAGCTGAACAACAAGCTTGCAGGACAGCAATCAATTTTCACTCGGCCCAGCACACAAGGTAAGGCTGCTACGATAGCCTCGTGATCCTGGCTCAACACAAAAAGTCTTTCAGCGATGGAGAAGTTATGAAAGAAGCATTTTTTGAGGCTGCAAAAGCACTTTTTCATAATTTTAAAAATAAAAGTGAGATYGTGGCTGCTATAAAGACGTGYAGTTGTCCAGAYAAACTGTGACACAGCGATGTGAGGGAACGGCTGTGGATGTGAGGACCAGCTAAAAAAAAGGACGTCAAACACAGTGTTGCTTCAGTTTGATGAGTCGACCAACATGGTAGATGTGGCCCAGCTGTGTGTTTTTATCAGAATGGTCTTTGTAGACATGAGTGCTCACCAGGGACACAAAAGAGAAGATATTTTAATGTGTTTATGGAGTTTGTTAATAAAAGCAACTTGCCCCTCTATAAACTCATTTCTATAACAACTGATGGAGCTCCAGCAATGACCGGACACACTCTGCAAGCAGAATGACTCTTTCCCAGACCTGCTGCTTCACATGAAAATCCCACTAAGGTAGAGACATACATTTATTTTTATATAGCCTGCATAAAAAGTTGTGTCCTTGTTCCGTCTGTATGTTCTTTTCTTTTTATTAGATTTTAGACCAGACTAGTAAATTATACACTGACTGGCACCTTTGTGTTATTTATTTATTTTGCAGTTTGGGTGTGCCATTGTTTTCTCTACCTAACGTGGCTGTGTGTGTGTCTTGTCTCATAGGTGGTGAACAGGTGGAACTCTTTGAATGGTCTGGAGCTGGCAGTCTGGACCAGTGAGGGCCAGCACCTACAGATGACACCATCCTGCATGCTGCTGCAGATCGGGTTTTGAAATAGTTGTTGGAGATTTGTGAATCTACACCATCGTAAGTCACTTTTTTTGTAATAGTATAAATGAGGGAGTTTTATATTGTGTGCTTTGACTTTGAAAAAAGGGGTGGCACTGTCTCTTCTGTTTCTCTGTCAGGAGTTAAGTAAGGATTTTATTTTTATTTTTTGTAGGTAAATATATGGATAAGTAGATGGTTTTGTTTG